CCACACACACACACACACTAACGTCTGACAAGAACTGAAGATGGAAATCCGTGTTAACGAAGAACGGTCAAACAACTTTGTTAGGAATGATTGCAATGCGATGCAATATTATCTCTAGCAATGCATAAATATGATAAAAATATAATAACGTGAATACGGTATATCACATGAATAGTAACTCTAGACTTTTAGTGTTGTGTACGTCCTAAAATGAAGAAAAATCTATCGTTATACCGATTGCTTCTTGTTTTATTCTTAAAATAACAATCAGTTATTGTACGTGACAATACAAGTTTAATAAACAAATAATATATAAAATTTTACGTTTCGTTGACCAAAATAAAACATTGCAAAAACATTGAAATATAAACCGTGTATATTTTTCTAGTATTTACGATATTACTCTATTAATCATTTATTATGATTTTTCATTTCTAATTAACTATGGATTGGCTCGAGAAAAAAAATTAAAGATATAAAATATAAAGTTTCATAAAGTTATATAAAGTTTTATAAAAAACATTTTATATTATATTTTGTGCTATATATTATAATTTACATGTACAGATATTATAAAATTATAATATTTTCTGAACAACATTTTCGAGAGTCAAAAACATCCACTAAAAATGATAATATGATGTATTTTATGATACAGAAATAAAAGTTAAATATATACGGGAAAAAAATAAAAACACTTCAATTTATATTTTATCTCTTCATTTTAATTTTGTTACAAAATTTGTAAGCATATTTGAATTGAAAAACTAAAAAAAAATTTAAAACTTTGTTTTTGATGAGTTTGTTTTCTCCGAATGCATATCGTGTGATAGAATTTTAAATAGAACACACACAAAAAATTAATCTTGATTAAAAGCATTAAAAATGATAGATCTAAGACACGAAAAACATATATCAGAAAGAAAATTAAAAAAATTTTGTAATTTAAGTAAGTTTATTACATACGCTTATGATGTAATTTAAATTATTGTATTAATTTAATTATTATTATAAATTTGCCATTTATTCTCTAATCATATCACGATGTTAGATCTTAAATATTAGATTCGAAATATGTGATGCAAAAGGATGATTATACGTTAATAAAAATTCAAAATAATAGAATAAATCTATACATCTCGAGAAAAATAGCTTGGAAAAGTAATGAAGCATTTATATGCTTGATTAAAATTTCACCTTTAACAATTAAATTTTGCTATAAACCATCATAAATTAATTATAAATCTATACATGCGTGCTTATAAAGTATGATTCAGTTCCCCAATCCCTGTTTACGTTATTCTGTTGAATTGATAGCACGATCCGATCGATATGCAAAGTTCTCTCAATTCATTCCATCGCACAACCTGTATCTCAAAGCGATCAAAAGACGAACGCGCATATTGCTCGTGGGCAACAATGTAGCTCGAATTGATTCTGGGCCCACCTCGGGAAAGAGATTGTCGAGACCTCAAGCGTGCTGTGACCAACTGGAGAAAAAAAAAGAAAAAGAGAAAAAAACGGAGTTCTCGATATACGTACCGATGTATATGATCGTTCGCGGAGCACCCCGAGGCTACCCGACGAAATTGCATTCGGAATTTCAATATAGCGCATATCATATTTCAACCTTAAAACGCCGCCAGCGCTGTCCGGGTATTACTTTGAGGTTCCTATGTCCGTAGAAACCGACTTTGTCCACCGATTATAGAGATTCCGACTGCGGTAAGGTATACGGATTTGAAATACGAGATGAAAAAACTGAGGGATGCGCAACCATCCCCCAAGTACACTCTCTCTCTCTCTCTCTCTCTCTCTCTCTCTCATTTCTCCTCTAACACGATCTTTTCATCAGAGTGGAGCAGCCTGTAGGGGACATTAGATGGTTTTCGCTCGGAATAAATGATCAAAAGGTAATTCCGGATTAAAGCTGTCACTGGCCTGGTGACTTGCTCGCGCTTGTATGCTCTATTGCGATCCGGATGTTGCTCTTTTACAAAGTGATTTAATCAAATTTTCAAAAAAGTCGGTGATGCTATTAACATGTATATTCGCCGGAAGGCATATGCATTCTCTCAGTTTCGGATTCTTCTTCAGATTTGGAGATAATTCCTTAGTGAAACGTTAATAAGAAGATCGAATTATCTCCGAACTTAAAGTTTGTTTACAGGAAATGGAAATTTATATTCTGTTTAGTAAGTTTAAAATTGTTCATTATACAAATTCTGAAACTTCATTAGTTATTATTTAACGTTGCTAAGTTCTATTTGTTCTTTGATTCTTTATAGTACTAAGCCCTTTTCTAAAAAGAATAGATATTTCACTACATAATCTGCTATCATCAAAAAAATATTGTAGAAGGAAAGTATTTAATGCTAAAAATTAAAGAGAATTATATGTTAATAATGAGAATAATAATACTGCAAATTTTTATTACAAATTGATTCTAAACTTATTAAGTTTTAATAAAATGTTATTTTTACGTTGTTTTTAATTTTATTTCATACCACATTATATTATTTTATATTGATTTACGAATTATATTAATAAATTATTATTATTAAATGCATCTTTGGTTTCTTTTTCATACATATACATACATATATAATAAATAATTATAAAATCTAATAAAAAAAAGTAATACAATTTTAGAAATAATTGGTAATTAATGAGATAATATTGGAGAAAAAGATTCTCTTAAATAAAATACTATTCTCAGCTATATAAAAAATATAATTATTAATAGCAATGACATACTGGGTTATGAACCGGTTATACTTTCAATTCGAATTCGGATCTTCTAAATTCGTGCGGGTATCATCCCAATTCAACCATTGCAGCACATGATAATATTAATCACAATAATCAATGTATACAGGGTGGCTACCAAATATTCTAAAAAATTTTAAGGCGAATTTTTCAAAAAACTCAGGATGAAAATTTCATACAATCATACGTTTGAAACGGCTTAGTTTCAAAAATACAGGGTATCAAAGTTACAGGAAAAATTTTGTATTTTTTCCAAAAATTTTGAAAACCATTCGAATTATTTTGATGAAATTTTAAACATATACAAAGTTACATTAAAATAAATTGAGTGGTTTTCGAAATTTTTGAAAAAAATAAATTTTAACAATTATTTGTTTTTTAATAAATTTTAAATAATTATTAGTTTCAAAGCGTGTTTTTCTTTTTCTTTCGTCGTGTATGTTGGAGAAAAGGAATAATTATCTCGCGGTTCAAATCGGAGGCGAGAAAGACGAGAAAAATTAATGTCAGTTCGTTAGGATGGTTTGTACTTGCATCACAGAATTTAATTACCAGTATGAGTAAAAGTAAATGGCAGCTACGAGAAAAATGTCGATTTAACGAGAAAGCACAAACGTATCGCTATCGTAACGATATTCGTCGTTAGGTGAGATGACCTTTCAAGCAACTTTCACGTATCCGACAATCTCTAGAAACGACGATAATGGTCAAAATATATATTTTGTTGATATTTGTTTTGTAGATATTTGTTTTGTTTTTATTCTTTTTTTATTAATGAAAGGTATCATAAACGAGTTCCAAAGCAATCTTCCGCCAAGTACCCGGCGGAGCGCCGAGACAATTTTCTTCCAAAGTTTACCCGCTTGTGCTTATCGAGAGAGGAGTTTGCACGAGCAAAAAATTCTTATTATGACTTATCCATGATCGTCTACTCTGACCAAGATACTTTGGATAAACCAAGATGAGCTAAGATTGACGATGACGAAATTGCATAACTGCGATGTTGTAATTGAAGGAAATGCAACTTGAGAACGCGGATTTCCTTCAAAACAGCAATGCTGTTCTTTTTTTTACTACAAAGATTATGTATTATATAAAAGAATGCAAACGAATTTAATATGCCAGCTCGAGAAAAACAAGAAACTTGCAATATTCGATAAATGTTTGGCATGGTGATTTATCGTCATTGTTATTCGAAAAGAAGAGAGGGCATTGTTATGAAAGGGGCATTTGATGCAATCTGAACGAAATCGATCATGCCATAGGTAACAAAAACATTTATTCGCTAAATGAAATTGGGAGTGAATGGGAGAGATTGACAGGGGTTTATGCATCGAGCCAGTGCAAGATCCCGGCGGATTGCGAGATCCTGGCGAACGTTCCGCTAATACCGAGTCGTTTATCACAACTGGCGAATGGAGAGCTCGTGAGATCGCGAGATCGTCCGACAAGCTGCACGCGGTGTTACGCTACTAAGTTCACCTGAGTTACGGTGATTAATCGATAATAGGTTCCATATGATACGGACGGTACGTTGTCGATGTGCGAAACGACCTTAATCACATTAGTTGATGATGACATGATCGATATATTATGATGGGACAGGTCATTCCGTTTCGTTCAGCTTAACATTACAGTACACGGCCCCTGGCGTTCACGTCATGCTTATCTTGCTCGCGTGTCCGCGTAATACGCTTGCATCTACATATACATTATCATAATAGAAGCGAGCTGACTAATTAATCGATCCACCTCCCAATTTCAGTTTGCGCAGACAAACTGACACTGCGCGTTTCATTTATGGTCGTGGGATGAATTACAAAACGAGTTATTCTAATGTTTACACAGATAAATATCAATATATTTATATTTACACTTTGCTAAAAAAAATCTGTCTGCTTTATGCAGTAAACGCAATGATACTGGAAACATAACATGTCATAAAATATGAGGTTTACAAAAATGAATGCATGTTTGCTACATTTGTTCGAATAAATAAATTTGAAAATTATATATGGAAAAATATATATATATAATCTTATTGGAAAGATAATTACGTTTGGCTGCTTATAGCATTTTTTATCGTTATGCCATTTATTGAGAAAGTTGCTAAATGACTTGGATGACTAAATAGAAATGCCGGCGATATATTTTTCATAAGAAATTTTATACTTTCGCAATTTTAACAACAATTCTTACTGATAGCATTTATACCTTGACGTTTATTACAGTGTGCCATCTACTGCGAGGCGGTGTAGCAGCGATTTTTGGACCGCAGAGCGCACATACGGCATCTCACGTGCAGAGCATTTGCGACACCATGGAAATTCCGCATTTGGAGACACGTTGGGACTACCGGCTTAGACGACAGAGCTGCCTCGTCAACCTCTATCCTCATCCCACCACTTTGTCCAAGGTACGTATACACAAACTTTAGCCAGAATAATAGCCTCATTAAAGCCGGTACTCATCGCGCAAAATCTGCCTTCGTGACCTTTCTCTTCACGGATTTCTTGCCTCTCATAGCTGTTTTACCTCTACCTTCATCGACGAGCAAACATAGCCCTTTTAGATTGTGGGATTAACGGTTGTCGCTCTAATCAAGGTAATTTCAACATTTCGTGCTTCTCATTTTACGTTGCACTGCAATTATAATTGGAGTGTGAAAAAAATCAATGAAGTCTAGAAAAATATCAAATTTTCAATAGAAAAAAAACATACTATTATAATATAAAAAAATTTTTAGTAAAATTATATTGTAAGCGTTTTTTAGGATCGCTTTTTTATTATTTTAATTTATTAAAAAAATTTGGAAAAAAGAATATAATTAAGATTATTGATTAGTTTTTACATTCAGTCAAAAGATTATATCGATTTTGCATTTTACGTTGCACTGTAATTAGGTATATTTAGAGGGGTAAAAAGAAATATCAATGGAATCTAGAAAAATATTAAATTTTTAGAAAAGGCAAAAAATATTTAATAAATATATATCACAATATTATAAAATTGTATTTCCGAAAATTATAAAGCTGTATTTTAGAAGTTTGAAGTTTTCTTTTCTTGTTAATTAATTAAAAATATAATTGAAGCCATTGAGAAACTCAAGCAATTTTCAGCTGAAAGATTATATTGGTTTCGCATTTTCATCACGATATAGTACAGAAGATTGCTTTCGCGACCAAGATGCATTTGCTGTTACATTCAGTTGTATCTGTATGCATCGGGTGCTACACCCACAGTGCGGTAGTTTTGAACTTAACGCAAAAGAACTAAAACTTTTTGAATTTCTCTTAATAAGCGCGAAGTTTCGTGAAGGGGTGCGGCTGAAAGCTCTGGTCGCGGGATTGTATGGCTCTCGGGCTTTTTGGGTTAACGAGAGTTCTCGCTCTTTCTCTTCGCGTTTCCTCTCTTTTCTTCCCTTCCTTCCCGTCTCTCATTTCCTCTCTCTCTCAGTCTATCTGTTTGTTCGTCTCTTTACTTGTTGTTTCATGAATCCTTGCAACTCTTTCGCTTTCTCAATATTTGTCATTCGCGAACACCTGCACCTTGCGACACTACGCTCTTTCTTTTTTGCTCGTTTTCACATCCTCTCAATATTTGCCACTAGATTTGTTCTCTATTCGCGAAAGCGTTTTGTTTATTCTCTGTATAGGATGTGGTGGAATCTTGCTCATCGCCCATCACCGAGTTTCTCTTTATTTTCGAAAGGGTTCGTGAACAAAAAATAAATATCCGCAACTACGAAGCGCTTTACGCTTCAAATGAGAGAACATTCGTGAGAAAGTCGATAAATCCGTCGCTGCGGGCGAACAAAACGCACAAGCATGTCCCAAAGAAAAGTATAAAAGCCAGCGAAAATGAAATTTTCTTTTGACGTACATATCAGAAAACAATTGCACTTTATTTGTATCTTTAATATGTATTTAATATAATGTAGACATATCTACGAAAGGACGATTTCTACGTAAGTATTATACTGAATGCGGCATTAAATTTTACTGACTGTGATAGAAACCAAGCGTTTAACAATTTTTAAAGATCCATAGAAAATAAAACATAATCAACAGATACAATTATTTCTACGTGACGGATTTCCTAAAGTTCTTTACGGATTTCGTGAAATATTAATGACTAGATAATAATTTACGGTCACATAGGTTGACTTTGATATCCTCGATCAAAGAGCTTTCAGCAATGGTGCACAGAGGACACAATTTAAAGGCCACCGCATACCTAAAGCTATTTGCTCTTTCCTCCCGCTTTCTCTCTCTCTCTCTCTCTCTCTCTCTCTCTCTCTCTCTCTCTCTCGTCAGAGTAAGAATTTCAATTACAATTTATTTGTCACATCACCGAGCTTCGATTTGTTAAAAATCACCAACTTCGATATTGCTATTCTATAATAGTACTTCAAAATATTCTGATAAACATACAATCACTTTAACAATTCTAATTAACACATACCTATATTCATGCAAATCTGACACACGTTTTTACTTACTTTAATAGACTTCGTAATTTACGTATACTTGTAAAATGTTTGAATGTAAGATCGTTATACAATATACAACATGTAAAGGAAGATATGAATGTTACGTAAAGAAATGAAAATAAAATTTTAATACACTCCATTAAAAAAGTAAAGAAAGAAATTTCTAGAAAAATTTCTTTATCTACGTGTAGGAGAAATCAATTTACTATACAAACAGTAAGAATTTGATTTAAAATAATTATCTAAACGCAATTTGTCATTAAAAGATAAATTTATATTGACAGAAATCTAGGAAAAGGATAACATAAATTTTGTTATAATAGAATAATTTATATGTCTAAATTAGTATAAAAGAGATGATTGATTGAAGAAGACGTACTTTTTTTTATTAAAACCTGGAAAATTTGTTCTAGAGTTTAATTTCTTAATTTGTAAAATCCGTTGTTTACACAATAAGATGCGAACGTACAAGAAGGGTTGAAAAATATAAAGAAAGAAGAGGAACGTTTAATAAGCTTTCGCATTCTAAAAGTGATAAACATCAGGTTTTCTCGGTCTCAGGTTTCCATTGTGAGTCTAGTAAACCGGAGTAGCTTACGTCGTCAGTTATTTCACGGTGTTAGAGCGGGGTTGGTTTTCTCTCGCGGGAGTTCTTTCCTCGGAGTCCTACCATTTTCAATGGCGAAAATGCAAAATTCACTAGAAGAGCAGCGGCATCCTGATTAGAGTACTCGACGAAGGAAAAGGAAAATCGAAAAAAGACAGCGGAGGTGGGTGAACGTTGGCGTCGATTCCGTCAAACGAGCGACAGCCTCATTCAGTCAACCCAACGACGGAAATATTTTACTTTCCGGTACCATCTTATGCGTAGTTCAAAGGAACCGAAGGCGATTGCAAGGAGCAGAAAAATGAAGTAAAAAGAAGCGCAACCAGTGAGTCTCTTTGATTCGCATTGGGTGAACTGTGGAGATAACTAATACTCTTCGCACCGTGATTTTCCGCAAAATGGTAACAAATTACTATCGCAAACGGCATATTATTTCAGATGGTAAAATAAAAAGAAGCAATTCCTATTTATAAAAAGTATCAACTGCAAGAAAATTACGCCAATTACTTTTACGTAAACTATGATTTATTTATCGATTAAACTTTTAAAATTATCGGAATATTATAATTGCATTATATAATAAATGTTTATTTAAATGAAAAATGTTATTTCTATATGGATTATTTTTAGAACATGGGAAAAAATACCAATTACTATTTTATTTGAAACAATTAATAGAAATAATAATTATTATCATAAATTACATTTATTACGTTTATTTACGTCGCCTGAAAAATAACGTTCTTTCTATATATACTACAATATTATTGCAATTAATATCACCATGCACATGTCTCGAATTGGTGGTCGAATTGATAAGATGCCCACACGGAATTCGGAAAATCCTGGCTGAGGTGATATTTTCACAATAAATTATTTACAGTGCTTTAAAAATGCTTAGCATCAATAATATTAAATTGCTTGTCAATTTAATTTGTAATATTACATACTCCAACTTTAGTCTAAGACTGTAGATCTATTTATTATTTCTGTACTCTCTGAACTGGTGCACACGGTGCAATAAATTGAAATGAAACAAACGTATATTTATTTCACTTCAACTTATTGCACCGTGTGCACCAGTTCAGAGAGAGCAGGAATAAAAGACAGATCTTGTGTTTCAGATCGACAAATAATCAGTGCACAGTTCGAACTGGAAATTGTAAATCACACATATATTATTAGACACTAAGATCCGCTTTGATCGAATATGGTTCTCTCTGCCTTTTCATTCATTTTTGTTGAACAATTATTATCACTTCAACTAATTTTGCGATAAAAAATAGCAAAACACGGTCTAAATAGCATAATATTTGACCTTTTTTCGTATTTTATGAATGTATTAAATGCCCTCATCAGTAAAAATAATGTCGATAAAGCGACACTACTTCAATACATACACAATACACACATGGGAAACACTTTTAATAGTTTTCTATGAAAATAACGATATATTAAAAGTTGCTCTATCATTTTCACATTTGAAATGTTTCCGAACGAGACGCTCCAATTATTACAGTCAAACGCGAAGACGAATCTATAAAATTCATATAAAATTATTGCTCTCTTAATATATATATATATATATATAAAACAAAATTTTAATTAGAAAAAGAGAGAAAAACCACATGTTTTTTATTTGTAATTTTAATAAATAAATAAATAAAATCATTTAAATTTTATTACATATTATATAAACAAATATATAACGTTTATATAATGATTACTCATATGAGCTTACAGCATGTGAATCTTTAATTATCAATAAGATATTACTATTGATTATTGATGTAATTGTTGGATATTATAGGTGAGTATATAATCATTGATGCAGCTTCTCTACATAATCATGATTATATTCTAATCGAGAAATTTTCTATAAATAAAATTATTCTGTATACTGAAAGAGAATATCTACATATTGTTTACTTCTGAACTTGAAATGATGAAATAGCATTGGTCATTCCGTTCTCAAGCTAATCGACGTTATGATGATATAGTGGGTGATATGTTGGTGTTAATGAACCGCGAGGGGCGCAATTGCCATTACCACAGCAATGATTTAACGATCTTCCTCGTGGCCGATAATGGACCGGCTTCTGTGCTCCTATAGTCGTCGAACCAGCAGCCGGTGTAGATGGATCAGTTGAATCAGCCTCTATGTTACTGTTGGAATTCAATTTGTACTGTTTCCTAATCGAGCCTTTGCTCATTAAGCTTTACTGTGCCTCTTTGTCCCGTCAATGCTGGCACCACCATCAGGACTTAAAAAAAGCTTTACGGAGCCTTAAATGAAACATTTAATACTCATTTAACT